GTGTGTGTGTGTGTGTGTATGCATATGTATGTATATATTTACATATATGTATCATATATATGTATATATATATATACATATATACATATATAAATATATATATATATATATATATTATATATATATATATATATATATATATATATACATGCGCATATAGATATTTGTGCGCGCGTTAGTGCGTGTGTGTGTATGTATAAATCTATATATTCGTACATGTGCCTTTATGACCTTGGCATTAGATGAAATAAACTGTTTTTTCATTTGTTTTTATTTTCATCCGGAAGTGACCTTTATTGTTGATCGTTTCCATTTTCCACTTTTATGCCGATATAAAAGTGAATTCCACTGAGCGAACTGCGCAGATAAAAAAAAAATCTTAACTTTCGAAAATCGAGTTATGAAAGAGTAATAAGGTTTGATATACCAAAGGATTTGCTAATATTACACATTGGTTTTAGATAATAGTGATCCTTCCATGCCAATTTCGTCAAGTGATTTTGTTATTTTCGCCAAACAACTCTATATCAGCTTTATTTTATGGTCAAGATTTAATTGCAGTTTTTACCTCATTATCTATTAGCTTCCACAATATGATACGAAAATTGATACTGCTAATGGTCGTAATTAATCATACCAATAATAATGAAAATAACGTCGAGGTCAAATAATGATAGAAATTAGAATAGTGATCATGATGATATTGAAGATATTAAAAATAATGATGATAGTTGTAATGATGTCGGTGAGGGCGATAATGATCATGAAAGTAAAGATGTTTATGATGTTAACGATAATAACCAAAATGATTACGGTGATGTGACGAATATAACAAAACATGATAATCAAAAGTGTTAATGATAATAACAATAATGATAACAATGATAATAGTGATAATGATAATAGCAATAATGATCATATTTATGAAGATAGTGATATTGCTACTATCAGTAAGGATAATAATGATAGTGATAATAATAATAATGGTAATGATGATGATAAT